ATTATTTTCAAAAGATTTTTATTTCTATATCAAAGTTAATTTAAGTAAACCTTATATAAGAAAAATTAAAACAAAAATTTATAAAAAAATTAATTTTACAATATAAAAGCATTTTTGAAATTTTGTTTACAAAATAAATAGTTTTTAACTTTATTTAAATTTACAATTGATTTTTAATTGCAACCCAAACTTTGTGCTTAAAGCTAGTGTTAGTTTGGATATTTAGTGATTTTAATTACAACCACAGTTTCCAGTTCGTAATAAACCATTGACAAGACCGCCAACAGTCCAACAACAGTACCAACTAAAGCACCAGTAGTCTTTGGAAGTCCACCCACAAGCTTTGGAACAAGTCCACCTTTACCACATACCCTACCGCATTGGCCTTTATTTGAGCTTTGTAATGATGATGAATTGTAAGATCTCAATGGGCTGATTTTGAAATTGATGAAGTATTACCGAGGGATGAAATTGCGGCTAAATAAAAAAAAAAAATTAAAAATTAAAAAAATTTTATTTTTTAAAATATATTTTAAAATATAATATATTTTTATAAATATATATACCAAAGAGAGTCATTTTAGTTTTAAAGTTAATTATTTTTAAATTATTGATTATTTTTAAAAAAAAAAACTTTATATTTATATTTTTTTTTTTGAAAGTGAAAAATTTATAAAAAAAAATAAAACTAATTAATATAATAATCTTTTGATATTTGAAGTTTCTTTAGATTGTGAACATTTATAGTTATAAAATATTTACCCATTTTAAATATTGAAATAATGATCGATTATATATAATCACACAAAATCATTTAACAATCTATTAGATTTTTTTTTTTAATAAAAAAAATTGAAAAAAAAAAAGGGGTAAATTTAATTAATGTAACACACAATGTGGTTAATATAATAAAAATATGCATATACTGATAAAAAAATAACCTAATCTAAAATAACACAAATCTATAATACTTTTATATTATAAACTAATATTTGAACTGACTTGTGATTGTTTCGGTGATTTAAATTATTGTTTAATATATTTTAAGTTAAAATATTATTTTTTAATTTATTTTTTATTTGATTGTTTAAACAAATATATATAAAAAAAAAGTATAAATAAGAATTAAAATTTTTTATTTTTTTCATTATATTATTAAAAATCAATTAATACAAAACTAAATTAAAAATGACTCTTTTTGGTAAGTTATATTTTAATTTTATTAAAAAAATTACTTTTAGTTTATAAAGTATTAATTTTTTATTTTATTTTCTTTTCTTTTAGCTTCAATTTCATCACTCGGTAATACTTCATCAATTTCAAAATCAGCTTCAATGAGATCTTATAACTCATCATCATTACAAAGCTCAAACAATGTTCAATGTGGTGGTGGCTGTGGTAATGGCGGCCTTGTTCCAAATCTTGTCGGTGGTCTTTTAGTTACTACTGGTGCTTTAGTTGGTACTGTTGTTGGCACTGTTGGCGGTCTTGTCAATGGTTTATTAGGTACTGGAAGCTGTGGTTGTAATTAAGGGAATTATTTAATAATTTTATAAACCAATATTATGTAAAATTGCTTAATTATAAAATAAAAATATTTATTTAAATTATTTTAAAAAAATTATAATTTTAAAGTTTATTTATTTTATTTAATAAAAAAGATTGAAAAAATAAAATACAATTTGTATTTTAGATTATTTAAAATTTGCACCATTTACTGTATCCATTGTTCATTAAATAAGAGATTACATCGTCTTCTGATACTGGGTCATAAGTATCACTGCTAAAGCTAATGGTGAATGGTGAATTCATATAAGTTGGAACAAATAAATACCATTCTTGAGTGTTTGGTCTTTGATAAAAAGTAAGATCTGGACTGTCTTTAGTGAAAACATCACGAATTGCTGGGTCTGCTGCGGCATCAACTTTGAATGCATATAAAAGAATATTTTGATAAAGTGTGTAACTACCTTCTGTAAGAGTAGTGGTCCAAGTTTCACTCTTTTCCTCATAACTATTTTGAGAATAACTAAATTCGGTTGTAACTTCGAATGAGGCCTCACATTCACCAATACCACCACTAATGCTTGATTTTAAGGAAGTACTAGCGGTAAATGTTGTGCTATAACCTTTCTTTTTAGTTAATTCGTGCTCTTGGGTTCCAACAACTGTTTGACTACTAATAAAACTTCTTAAAGCTGCAACTGGTTTAATTTGAACCTATAATAAAAAAATAATTAATATCTAACTATTTAATATTACCATGGTTTTATTATAAGCAAATATACATACTGGTAATTTTAATTTACCAACACTGATGGTAGAACTTTCTGATTTATCTTCACTATCAATAAAGACCATTGACTCTGGATTAGTTAATAACTTTAAATGCTTATCGATTTGATAGTTGGTTTTAACGGTGCTTGATTTTGGAATACTCCATGATTTATCAACAACTGAAGTTTGTTGAGCATCATCAACAGCATCGGTAATTTGTGAATTAACAGCGGTATCTAAAGCCATTTTAAAAAGGTTTTTTATATTTAAATTGAAGATAAAAAAAAAAAGATAATTTAAAATTATTAATATAATATAACAATAAAAGAATAAATAAGTGAATGAATTAAAATAAAAGCAAAAATCTATTTATATTTTTTTTTTTACTTACAAAAAATAACTTTATTTTTTTTTTTGAATTTTTATTTTTTATTCAACCCATTTTTGATAGATTATTTTAATTTTTATATAACGATATTTACAATCGCAATCGATTTGATTTGTTAACCCTACAATTTTAAGATTTCTTCATTGTTTTTTAATGTGGAACCTTTCCCAAAGAAAAAAATACAATTACAAAAAAAAAAGGTGTGTGGGTTTTATAAAAAAAAAAAAAATAAAAAAAAAATAAAAATAAAAAGTTATTTTTAAATTTTTCATTTTTTTAAAAAATCGGCGTGCATCTCTCCCCATTAATACATTATTACTTTCATATTATAATATAATATATTTAACACACTAAAAAAAAAAATTTAAAAAAAAAAATTTCACAAAAAAAAACTTTTTGCTTTCCCAATTCAAAAAAAACCACAAAGAAATACAAAGCAAAAAATAGATCGAGATTTCTAAAAAAAAATTTCAATCAAATTAGATACTGTTCAACGGAATCATTCATTATTAATTTTTAAAAGTTATCAAGCAAAATAACCGCAATCACCACAAAAAAATAAAAAGATAATTTTGTAAAATAAAAAATAAAATAATTAAAGGAAAAAAAAAACTATAAAAAGTTTTTAAAAAATATTAAATATTCATTCAAAAAAACAATATTATTATTTCATTAAAAAAAACAAACAAACAAACAAACAAATTATTTATTATTTTATTTATTTATTTATAAAAACATATAAAAATGATTAAAGATACTTTACAAATTGATGAAACTTTACATTCAGACGAAGGTGTTGGTAAGTATCAATTATATATTAGATTCTTAAATTTTTAATTATTAATTATTTTTTTGATTAAATAATTATAGGTAAATTAGTATCATGGAATGACCGTTATGAAGCTGTCATGCAAACTGATGGAAACTGGGTAGTTTATTCAATTCCTAAAAGTAGTGAAGAAAAAAGAAGAGTAATATTCGCATCACACTCTGAAAAACACGGCCATCACCCATATAGAATGATCATGCAAGGTGATGGAAACCTCTGTTTATATGATACCAAAAACCACTGTACATGGTCAAGTAACACATGTAATAAAAAAACCCATAAATCTGGACCATACTTTGTTAGACTATACGACTCTGGTTCATTAAAAGTATTTGATGGAAGCAACGATACCCTTTGGTCATCTCCAATAGACTCTGCTTTAGGCAAATGCTAATTTTAAAAAAAGATTATTATTTACATTTATTTAAGTTAAATAAATAAAATAAAAACAAATGAAAAAAAAAAAACTTTATTTTTATAATTATTGCTTTATTTATATTTTAATATACAAAAAGGAGTTTAAATTAATTTACATCTATATTTTATTTTTATTTAATGGCTAGTTTAAATTAATTTTTATAGTGCTTGAGTAATCTTTTTTCTTATTTATGGTTATGGTTAAAAGACCGTTATTAAATTGTGTTTTGATTGATGACAAATCCAAAGTATGTAATAATCTATTTAAGTCTAAATATCTTTTGAATTTACCATATGATCTTTCTGTGATATACTTTCTGACTTTATCTTTGGAACTATCACTGGTAGGTTCTGATCTGGCTTTTTTTCTTGGTGATTCTAAACTACTATCTGTATTGGTACTGGTGGTAGTGGTTTCATCTTCAAATCCCTCAATTAATGGTTCATTTTCAGTGTTTGTAGATTTGTCAGAGGTTATTGTATTATCTTTATATGTTGATCTTTTCTTTTCACCTTGAATATATAGCTTTGAATCTTTAATTTCTATTTGGATATCTTCTTTATTTACACCTGCCAATTCTGTTTCGATAATTAATGAATCTTTAGTTTCAACTAAATCTAACTCTGGAACGATATTGATGATTTCTTGTTTTGTTGGTTGTGATTTATTATTAAAACTGCTGTTATTAAAATGTTGGTTTAATAAGACATCGAAAATAGTTGCCATTTTTTTTAATATTTTATTTGATTGATTTATTTGATTTGATTGATTTATTTATTTATTTATTTGTTTGTTTGTTTGTTTGTTTGAATAAATGAAAAAAAAATATTTTTCTACTTATATTTTTTTTTTTGTTCAATATTAAAATTGATTTCAAAATATTTTAAGTTTACCATTTTAATGATAAATAATGATTTAATACATTTTAATTGAAATAATTAGAGTAGGCTTATGATTTTTAATTGAAAAACTGATGAAAATTTAAAAAAATTTAAAAAAAAAAAAATGAAAATTTCATTCAAAATATTTAAATTTTAAAAACAGTTTTTAAAAATAAAAATAAATATAAAAAATAATAAATATAAAAATAAATAGTTTATATAAAATTTTTTAATATTAAAAACAGTGTTTAAATTAAATAAAAATTATTAAATAATTTTAATTTATTTTATGGTATTTATATTTTGCTCTTTCAATGTTTGTTAACGTTTTATTTAATAAAATATCTAGATTCATTTTATTCTTTTAAATAAAATATAAGAAATTAATAAATTATAATAATTACAATACCTAAATTCATCCCAAAAGACATATTATAAGAAAAAAAATGAAAAAAGATATCAAAAATATTCTTTTTTTTTTAATTTTTTTTTAATTTTTTTTTTATTTATTTATATAAAAAAATTTAAAAAAAAAACCACCCTTTTTTTTTATTATATTTTAATTAAAAATCATTTATTTTTAAAATGGATCAATTATTTTTTAAAGTTTGGAGAAATATTATTATTAGAAAGTTAATATTATTTAACATTCAAAACCAATATGTACCATCGATAAATCATTGTATTGGTGATAGAATACCATTTTCAAAAATAAATAAATTAGGATGGTTTTTAAAGTCAAAAAAAAGAATACCAATTTTAATTGATAAATTTAAGTCAAATAACCACCACTCACTATTAATATCAAATAAAGATATTTATGAACTATTTGAAATATCAAGAGATGATCAAGATTATTTTGAAGTATTAGAACTGGTCTGCGAAAAAACAATTGACAAACAAGTAAAAGATTTTAATTTTATATATTTATCAAGAAAAACAAGCAATGACAGAGCATATGAAATATTTAAAGACAAGCTAAGAATAGACCTAAAGACCGCAAAAGAAAAGTCAATAGATTTAAGAGAGTTGACCAATATTCATCACTCACATTTAGAATTTATATTTTCAAATAATTTGGTAGATTGGGATTTGGCTTCTTTACAAAAGTTAGTAGCTGAACATTACAACTATTATAGATTGGATCATTTAGAAAATGGCTTCTACAACATAATATATCTAATTGAAAATCACCTGAAACCAAACTATGAAAACCTTCAAGCCTATGGCTCCCATTTAGAGAACATGATTTTAAAAACTTTATTTATAAAGCATTATAAACAAATGGATTCAATTTATCAACAGCATAAATCAACACTCTCTTTAGGCTTTTTTAGAAATTTAATTACAGATACCTACTATGGCCGTTTTACATCCCCAAGCTCTTTCAAATGTAAAAACCCTGAACGTAAATTTGAAGCAACAAAATTTTATTTAAAAAACATTACCTCTACAAACTTTCCAGAAAGCTCTTTTGTATTTAGATTTCAAACCTTTACTCCTGACCAACTAAACGAACTTTTAGATACAGTAATTGCCCATCCACACTCTTCAAACTCCATTCATCAAAATCGTATCCAAACCATATTTTCTTGTTTTCACACATCAGACTATTTAAATTCATTTTCAAATGCATTGTACCTATATAACAAAATTAAAAAAGAAGCGCCTCAAATAGGTCCTTTCAAAATATTTTCAAAAAGTGTTCAAAATGAAACTATTCCAAACTTAAGACTAGATCAAATAAAAAAACTATTGGAAATTACAAAAGAAGATAAGAGTACCTTAACGGTTTTCACATGTCTTAATTCAACTATAAACCAGGATTTTATATTTAATAAATCAAATGAAAATCAATCACAGGATGATTATGAAAAGCAAATCATTAGCTTTATAGTGTACTTGGTTCAAGCATCAAGTTGCCAATATTTTACTTTAGATTTAAAAAGCTTAATCAAGTACTCTGTTCATTCGTTAAGTGGGGATACAAATTTAAACAAAGCAATTCAAACTATTTTAAACCACAGCGACTTTGATTTAGAAACTATTTTAGAAGAAATAGACTACAATATGAAATTCATCCAAGTTGTGTTCAATCATTTTATAAGCTACCAAGAACTAAAATATCCATTATGTTTTAAAATTTTAGAAATGCTATTCAATAAACCAGGGTACGAAGAACTTAAACCAATACTATATGGTATATTAGAGAACCTTGAAAAGCAATTGAATTTTGAAGAATTGGCAATTGAATTTAGTATAATCAATAATTTTGAACTGTTTTTACATCTCATCCAATATCGAGGAAACCAAGAAACCCCAATAAACTTTAAAAGGTGGTTAATTCTATTAAAAAATCGTCAAGAATGCATAACAGACCAAACAAATTTTATCAAATGTTTAGATTTTCTTTTAAAGCAACAAGAAAAGATTAAACTAGAAGACCTTTTGATAGAAGCAGAACTACTTGATTCAATTGAAGAACGATATGAAAAAATCCTTATATATTTAATCGAAAACAAGAACCACTTTAACTGGGATAAAGACTGCCATTCAACAATAGACAACTATCAACAAATACTAAATAAAAAAAATGAACCAGAACCAGAATTAAAATCAAAAATAGAAAAAGAAAAAGAAAGAATTTTACATTTTATCCAAAATAAGAATGCCCTCTATTTGGTTAGTTGCGGTTTTATTAAAGAGGCAATAGAAATTGTTAATTCAACTGATTCAACACAGCATGTAGATTATTTTTTTAATTTTATTGACATTAGAACTCTATTAGAAATCTATGACAATACACAAGATACAATAGCAATTTTGAATTATAAAAAAGATTTATATTTAAACATAGACACCAACTTTAATAGTATTGTAGAATATTCAATTAAAACATGCAGATTCGATATTTACAACTATTTAATAACACTAAAAACTCCATTGATTCTTCTAACTTTGAAACTTGAGGCGGATGGTTATTTGGAAGAAAATAATTTAGCAACTATTCAATTCTTTTTAGATCAATACATAAACAATAAAAAAGGATGTAATAAGCCAACCGAGAACTTACAGAAACTAATAACAGCAATATACAACAAAAACAATAATATCAATAGATCATATGAAATTTCAAACTTTTTATTAACAACTTATCCAGACTATATAGAAAGAAAATAAAAAATTTTATTTAATACACAACATATTTTATTTATTTTATATTTATTTTATATTTATTTTATTTTTATTTATTTATCTATTTATTTATTTATTTATTTATTTATTTTAAAGTTATATTTCTAAACATTATTTTCACTACCAATATTATCATTTTCATCACTGCTATTATTACTATTGTTATTTTCGCTTGTAATAATGATATTATTGGTTACAATGTTATTTTTTGATTTTTTTAATGGAACCTTTTCTAAATCTTCATCTTTTTTATTTTCTTTATCTTCTTTATTACCACCTGTGGAAGTATTATCTTTATTTTTCAATAATGGTAAGCTAATATTTTCTTTTTCTTCTCTTCTTTTGTATGCATAATATTTTAAAGCATTGTTAATACCAGCAATAGCATATATTAAACCAGCAACAAAACCGATTACACATAGTATACCGATTACCAAAACATGAATATACCATTTGGGAAGCTTTTTATAAGGGATTTCTAAGGAAACATAGGAACTATCAACTTTGATTCTATAACCATCGACCCTATTTCTATCATTTGGAGAAGCACCATTAAACAAAATTGAAATTCCGTCATTAAATACACCATTAACCTGTTGTTTTTGAATCTTGGGGTCTAATTCGAATAATTTTAAAGAGTAATCACTAGATTTGATTTTATTGGTCCACTTTATGTTTACAACCAATTTGCCTGCGATTGTTAAATTTCCATTGATTTTAATTAGGTTGTTGTTGGAATTGTTATCTTGAATATATAATACAGAATTTGATTGAAGGTATAAATTGCCACCGACTATTAATTGAGTATTTGAACGATCAAAAACAATTTCACCACCAGTTCCAACATATAAATCTTTTGAAACTGTTGATACACCAACTGGATAAAACTTATTATCGGTTACATTTAATGAGCCATACAAGTTACTGTTGATTAAATAGAATAATGATTCCATTTTATCGATCAAGTTGATTAGTGGAACTTGAATGTTTGTATTGGTGATAATAAAATTGCCCATAGTATCGATATTATTTTCGCTATAGCTCAAAAAAGCGGAATCTACAATTGCATTGCCACCCAAGATAAAAGTGCTTTCTTCCTCGATTACTAATTTGGTGAAATGTAAGTGTAAAGAGTTGATAGTTACGTTGCTTGTACTTATGAGTGATCCATTTGCGACCTGGGACCCATCTTCATAGAAGCTATTAAATGTACTGTTAATAATATATAAAGCCGAACCCATAACACCTACATTTATATTTGAGTTGTTGAAACCTACTATACTACTTGATAATTCAAGAGATGAACCATTGCTTCCGACTTGGATGAAATAAATTGAACCATATGATTGTTCGTTATTTGATGTATAATTTGAAATGGAGAAGTTGGAATTTGAATTAACTATTTCTAGAGTACCACCGTTTAAAAACAAATTGTTATTTTCACTGTCTAATGATGATCTTCCATTAATTTTACCACCTAATGATAATACAGATCCATTATTGATATTGATAGATGCATGAGATTCGACATCAAGATTACCGTAAACTGATATACTACTGGCGGATGTACTATTACTGACTAGATCGACTATACCGTCAACAGAAACATTTCCTAAGAAATAGCTAGATTTGTAAAATTGGCAATTGGACAATACGGCATTTCCATAAGACTTGACACCACTGTGGAAATAAACTGTTGAAGGATCATTTGAATTGATTAAGGTACTATTGTTTTGAAACAATGGAGAGGACTTGAATATGGATTCACCGTTTAAGCTTAAGGTAGATTCATTATAAAAATTTAAAAAACTTGATGAATCTACTTGGGCTACACCATCTACTTGTAATTTACTCTTCTGTGTAATATTGAATACACTATTATTTGATAAAATTAATTTGTCTTCAACTTTTACAAAACTACTTGCATTGATTAGGTTTAAGTATGAATTTGTCAGATTTAATTTCTCGACTGTTATTTGAATATTTGAAAATACCAAACTTATTGTAATGTTGTCTGCACCACCATTATATCCGACCAAATTTAGTGAATTATAAGTTGCATTTAAATTATTTAAAAATAAATAAACTAAATTTGTTGTTGTTGGAGTTGAGGATGGTAGTTTTTTAATATTATTATCATTTGAAAATGTTGATAGTAATAATTGATTTTTAATATTAACGGCATCAGATGCTATTAATGTTGAAAAATCGACTATAATATCATCACCATCAGATGGTAATTTATTATTATTCCAATAGACTGAATCTTGTAAATTACATGGTGCTTCAATATCTTTACAATTTGAAATTTGTGAATTATTAAATTGTGTAACTGCACATGATGTATTGATGATTATTATTGAAATTAAAAAAATGATTGCTAAAGTTTTATTATTAAAGTTCATTGTTGCTGCATTTAAAAAAAAATTCTGGTTGCTTTTTTTTTTCTTTTACTCTTTGTCTACTCTTTGTTTTTTTTGATTTTTTTGAATTTAAAAAAAATAATAAGGTTGTTACATTTATAAAATTTTTATATATAGTAATAATTATATATAAAAAAAAAAAAAAGAATATTTTAAATCTAATGTATAAATAAATTTATTATACAAAGGAAAAAAAATAAATTTATTTATTTAAAAAAATAAAAAATAAAAAAAATAAAAAAAATAAAAAAAATAATTAAATTAAAAAAATGTTATAACACACACTAATTGGATATTTGAGTAATAATAGTGGCGATAGAGATAATTAACACACACAAAGAAAAAATTTGTAGTTGTAATTATTATTATAATGAAAAAATTAAAATAAAGAATGCAGAATATTTTTTTTCTTATTTATAGAATAAAAAAGAAAAAAAAATAAAAAATAAAAAATAAATAAAAAAAAATAAAAAAAGAGAAAAATAACAAAAATAAAAAAAATAACAAAATTTCTCTTTTTCATTTAGTTTTTGTTTATTTTTTGGGTTGTTTTTTAACCTACACCTTGTGTAAATATAAATCAAGTATATTTGCAATTTATTTTTTATTTTTTTTTTTTTAAAAATAATTTATTTTTATTTTTTTTATTTTTTTTTCGGTATGAAAGTTGTAAATTTTTTGACATTTTAAATGATAATTATTGGAGTGATGTGATTGTGATTATTTTTTTTTTTTTTCTTTTCTTTTTTCTTTTTTTTTTTTAATTAAATTTAATTTTTTTTTTTTTTTTGAAGAGAAAAAGAAAAAGAAAAAAAAAATTCAAAAAAATAAAAAAATAAAGAACAGATATGCAACATCAACAAAACAAAAAGGTGGCGATGGGGTGATGGTGGTTGTGGTGAGAAAATATAATAAAAAAAATAAAATTAAATAAAAAAAAATTAAAGAGGGAAATAAAATAAATTTTTTATTTGATTAATGGTGTGTGAATGTCAACTTTTTCACTACTATTAATATTATTGTTATTGTTGATACTGTTATTTAATTTGTTTTTTCTTCTATCATTAACTATATAAATAACAATAGATATTAAACCAACTACAATAAAGATAGTTAATATTATTAAAAGAATGCTCCATAAAGGAAGTTTAGAGTTATGAAACTCTAATGTTAAAATACCATTGTTTTCAATTTGAAGCTGATATTTAACATCACTCTTTTCATGATCATCAAATAAAAATTGAACTCCAGCAGTAAAAGTAGTATTTAGGATTGCTTCATTTGTAACTTGAATTAATTTATATTCGGAATTGGCCTTTGGTTCACTTAGAGAATCGAAATAAATAACTAATTTACCCAACAATACACATGCTTTACCTTGTACAAATAAAAATGGTTGATCTGATTGAAAGATTTGGTCATATACTTTAAATATAGAGTATTCGTCAATATTGAAGCTGTTGGTGGATAATTGAGTTTTATTACCGCTAAATCCTATAGTACTATTGTTTAAAATTGAAAGAGAATCCGAAATTTGTAATGCACCCGATGGATAGAATTGAGACTCTTGCTCTACTAGTATTTGGCCTTTAACAAACATTCTTGAGTGATCGGACATTGAAAAAGTCGATTGGTCCAATACTTTTATATTTGTTGTTATTGTCATCGATACATTGGATAATGCCAATTGGGTCTTTATTTCGCTTGATCCGATAAGAGTGATCGAATTGAATGTTAATTGCGAAAGCATGCTTTTATTATAGGCCAACAAATTGACATAGTTTGGTCTACTATCGACCAATGGTACATTGCTATAGTCTATCAATATATCATCACCCATCTTTGGTAGAGTTCCATTGGACCAATTATTTGAATCGCCTAAATCACATACTTGTCCCGATATATAGCAGTTTGCTGTGGTATTAAACACTACAATTGACCCATTTACAATACCTTGATGATTACTGATAGTTGTTGTTGTTATAAAGATTAAATTAAAAATAATAAAAAAATAAAGTTTATTTAAATAATTCGATTTTTTATATAAATCCATTTACTATATCATAAAAAAACACATATATTAATAATATATTATTTAATAATATATTTTTTTTAATTTATAAAAAAAATAAAAAAATAAAGGAAATTTGAATTAAATATTTTTTTTGATTGATTTGTGTATGTGTGTATGTTGTGTTTAAAATTTTATTTTTTTATTTTTTAGAAACGGAAAAAAAAAATAAAAAAATAAAAAATTTAAAAATATAAAAAAAAAGAAAAAAATTTATTTTTTAAAAATATAAAAAATATTAAGAAATATAGAAAATAAATAAATAATTTTACTTTTTTTTTACAACAAATCAATAAATAAATTATTTTTGTTTTATTCCAAAAAAAAAAAAAAAAAACTTAACATCTTTTTTTTTTTTTTTTTTTTTTTTTTAATTCCAATCTAAGGGTTTGGGGAATATCTTTATCAAATTTTTGAGAGAAAAATATCTAAATATTTTTTTTTATTAATTTCCCAAAACAAAAATTATGAAGCGTTAGTTTTTAATAAACAAATACTTCATTTTATGAAACTAAAAGTCCCTAACACACTAGATTTTTTTAGGGATAAAAGAAATACCCAAATATGATCTTATAACATTGTGTTTTTTGTATATTATTTTTTATTATATTTTTATAATAGATTATTTTTTAATTTTTTTATTTAACCTAAGAATGAATTACAATTATTTATTAATTTTATGAATTTTATTTTATTTTATTATATTTTTTTAAATTATAAAAAAAAAATTAAATTACATTCATTATTTAACATTATAAAGTAAATGGAAAAAGATTATAATTTAGTTTGTACTCCACAACAATTAAACTCTATAAATAACTATTCAAAAATAAATAGTTTGATACAACTATCCTATGAAAATAATGAAAGGAAAATAAATAAAAAAGAATCATTTAAAATATTGGATGTTGGATGCTCTATAGGTTTAAACTCTATACACCAAGTAAACAGCATTATGGGCGAATTGAAGAAACATGAAGCTGACAAAATAGTAGAGGTGTACCACTCTGACCTTCCCATCAACAACTTTTCATTACTATTTAAAGAAATTTATTGCAACCCAAACTCATATACAAAAAACTTCAACAATACATACAGCTATGCAATAGGTAAACCATATGAACAGCAACTAATGCCAAACAACTCCTGCGATATTATATTTTCATATAATTGCTTTCATTGGGCCGATCCCAACAACCCGGTATTTTCCCAAATTAATAAAGATTTAATTATTGTTTCCAAGCCAACTAGCTGCCCACCAGGTTTCGATGAATACGGTACCACACTCTTAACCAAAACTTTTCAAACTAGATACAATGAATTAAAAATAGGTGGTGTTTTATCATGTAACTTCTCAACATATGATCATAACAACCCAGTATCTGAAGGCATCGAAATGGTATTTAAAAAAATTAAAAAAATATATAGAGAAATGGCAGATGAAAAGATACTATCGCACAAAGAAGTAGATGCAATGTTTGGTCAAATCATACTCTACAAAAATGAACAAGTTGATTTTGCAATTAAACATGCTGAATCAATTGGTTTAAAATTAATAAACAAAGAACAAGTTTTAATTCAATGGAGTAAAACCAATAAAGATCCAGCCTCAAATTTAGCAAGTTATGTCCCAATATTCACAAAAAGATTTATTAATGGAAGCGAAACAAAAGTAAATTCTATAAATAATGAATTTAAAAGGAGACTACTCCAAAAATATAATGAATCATTTGATTTTACAAACACATTTGATTTATTACTATTCAAAAAAATTAAATAATTAATAAATATATTTTGAATTTAATACATATTCAATTTTGATTTTTTATATTTATTTTTTTATGTTTAAAAATATATAAATCTAGCTTTTATAAATTTCCTCTTATGGTTAAGCCGTTCTGTATATCCGATACTCTGTTTGGTATATAAAATGTTATTGGGTGCCATTATCATGTCCTATGCTAAAATAAATTTTTAAAATAAAATAAAATTATTTCGGTTTTTTTTTTTTGACAGACACAAAATCTATATTTGTTTGGTTTATTACTTTTTTTATTTATTATAATACAATAAAAAAAGTATGAAGAGGTAATAATATTAAAAAAAAAAAAGAATGTAAAAAAACCTAATTATAATTTCGTTTGTTATATAAAATGTTTTTTTAAGTAGATAAACATATTTATTTAAACGTTTGGTTTATCTTTAATACCACGGTAGATGGCAATAAGTGAGACTGATGAAACTTTGACAACCTTGAAACGAACGCCTGGAATATCACCGACAGAGTGACCTGAACGACCAAGACCAGCAACTAAAACTTTGTCATTTTCTGCGATGTAGTTAAGACAACCATCATTTGGGACGAAAGCGGTGATTTTTTTACCGTTTTTCTTTAATTGAACTCTGACACATTTACGAATAGCAGAATTTGGCTATTAAAAATAAAAATTAAAAAAAAATAATTGAATTAGTATTCCTATGCTACAATAACCTAAAAATTGATGCTAAATGCTAAATTTTGATATTTACTTGTTTGGCTATAATATTAAAATAAAAAAACAATATATTAGTATTTTTTTATAAACAATCTTTTAGATTTGTAAATGATAATTACCTTCAATACCAAGTCTGTTAACAACGATACCTGAAGCATGTGAAGCACCACCGAATGGATTAGCTGTAAAATGTAAGTGTTATATTAGTATTACTGTTTTGCTGTTTTGTTGCCAATCTTCTTTTAATCAACATACCTTTGAGAGCGGTACCAAAATGAGCTTTTTTGTAGAGTTTATCGTTCCAACGTTGAACTCTTCTGTGATTTCTGAGCTTTCTAGCTGTCTTTAAACCGTTTGGCTTACTATAGTTGATTAATGTTCATATTAGTTTCTAATCCAAGTGATAATGGTGGATAAATGATAGATAAGAAAGATAAATGATAGATAATGATAGATTGAGAAAGAATTTGAATCAATCATTTAATATGTGTATGTATATATATATATAAATAAATACCCCATTGTATATAACTATCTAAGGAATCGAAAAGGCTGAAACAATTCGTCTTTTTTTTTTTTAAATTTTTTAAAAAATTCAATTTTTTTTTTTTTTTTTTTTTTAAATTTAAAATTTTTTTTTCATATTATTTTTTTTCAAATTATCCCCTAACGTTCCAATTTTTATATGTAAAAATTTTTACATTATTTTTTTTGCCAAAAAAAAAAAAATATATTTATAATAATTTGTCAATAAAAATAAATTAATAAATTTAAATATTATTATAATAGCAATACTAGTTAGTAATACTAAATATAAATAAATTTATTCCATTTTTATTTATTTGAAACAAAATAAATAAAAAAAAAAATTTCAATTATTTAATAAAAAAATAAAAATAAAAATAAAATCTATTTTTATAATTTTTATCCATCACAAAAAAAATAAAATCATATTGGGCAAAAACAAATAGTTTTGATGTATTTGTTTATTTTAAAATTACTTTTTATTTTATTTTATTTAATAATTGAAAATGGAATGTGTGTTGTGTGAGAAAATTGGAAATTTTACCATTAACCAAATTATTTTAAAAATTCTTTATATATATGTTTTAAACCAATTTAATAAATATAATTTGAATTTTGTTTGGTTTTTGAATAAATAATTTACCCTTTTAAAAAAATTTATGTTTTTTAAAAGGGTAAAACTGTTGTTGTATTTAAATTTAGAAAATCTTAAATACATTGGTATTCAAAAGAAAATTTTTTTTCAAATAAATGAAAGTAAAAATGTGTGAAGATATTTTGTTTCGCATAAAATCAATATAGAGTACTCCACAAAACCTATTATTATGTTTTTGCAAAAAAAATAAAAAAAATAAAAAAATAATTTGAAAAAAATTGATTTTTTTTTTTTTTTTTTTTTTGATTTTTAAAATTTTTTCTTTTTTTTTTACACATCAAAATAAAAACAGTATAAAAATATTTAATCATTTAACAACATTGTAATAGTAAAACAAACAAAATAATCAAAATAAGATTTGGTTATTTATAATTTATTTATTTATATTTATTTAATATTGTATTATTAGAAAAACTAAAAAATAAAATAAAAATAAACAACTTTAAAATATTTGAAGTTATCCATAACACATTTTACGTTTATTTCTTTTTTTTTTTTTTTACCTTTTATTATTTTTTAAAATAGCATTGTTATTATTATTATAATAATATATAATTTTAGAAAAATCATAGTTTTTTTAAAGATAGATAGTTCATATCTCTTTACATCACCACCAACTTAATACATACACAATACAATCACAACCATTCATTCAACAATTACCACACACCACACATACCACACATACACCAAACACCAAACATCAAACATCAAACATCAAACACCAAAATCCAAACTCACACTTTACGTTTTAATCAATATTTTTTTTTATTTAATCATTTAAAAAAAAAATTAAAAACATCACAAATTTATTTTTTATTTTTATCATTATAATTAAGTAATATTTATATATAAAATTATTATTATTATTTTATAAAGAATTTTAAACTTATTTATTTTTATTTATTTACAAATTTTTTAACACACCCCTCACACACAAATTCAACCACACCACACATTTCTATATGTTTAATTTAGAAATAAATAAAATAATATTTATTAAATAATAAAAAACAAAATGACTAAGGGTAAGATATGGTTATTTATTTTAATTATATAATTAAAATCAATTTTATATATACCAAACCTAAAAATAATATACTGACCTATTTTTTTTATTTTTTTTTATAATCTTTTTTATTTTTATTTTTAATTTTTTTTGCCCTCTCCAACATTTTAATCATACAAAAAAATACTTTACTTTATATTTATAATAATCATAATTTACTATAAATATTTACTACAATAATGAAAATAAAATTTTTTGGATTTGTTTTATCTAAAGATGAAGAATTAGAAGATAAGAATAAGAAGGAAACTAAACAACAAGACGGAGCCGAGATAAAACAAAAGGAAGGCGAAGAAACTGCGACATCTGCATCAGCAACCACCAATATAGAAGATACTACCACAACCACAACCACCACTACTTCCACCACTACACCAACAAATGATGATGACGAAGAAGAAAATGATAGCGACAGCGATGATAAAGATCAGGCAGCTGCAGCAACAGCATCAGGTACACCAAATAAATCATCGAAATCTAAAAAAGAAGATAAGAATTTAAAAAAGGATTTAAAGAAACAAAAACAAAAAGAAGAAAAAGAACGTATAGAGTTAGAGAAACAAAAGCAAAAAGAAGAAAAGGAGCGTGTAGAATTAGAGAAACAAAAACAAAAAGAAGAGAAGGAACGTTTGAAGAGGGAAGAAAAAGAAAAATTGGAACAAGAGAAATTAGGGAAACAAAAGCAAAAACTTGAAGAGAAGGAAAAGGAAAAAGAAAAACCAACTATCACCAGAGAACCATCTGTAATATCGAAAATATTTTCTGTTAAAAAATCTAATAGTAGTTCATTAATTATTGAAAGATCAAATTCACCAACACCAATCGATCACGATAATGATAGTAATACAGCAAATTTAAGTAGTGGTAATTTAGCAATATCAGGTGATTCAATTAAAAATAATAATAATAATAATAACAATAATAATAATAATAACAATAGTATTAGTAATAATAATAATAATGGTGAAGGTTCTACAGAAGAAGGAACCAAAGAAAATGTAAATATAAATTCAGAAAATCCAATAGTAAATGAAACAACCAACAATAATAATATAGAAAATTCAGATAATAATTGTACTATTCAACCATCGCAATCATCAGAACAAATTAATGATAAGGAGGAATTATCATCAATAGTTGCATCACCATCAACACCTGGAGCAAAGAAAGAGGTAGTTATTAAAGTTACCAGGGCATTTGCACCAGTAGTGCATCAAAATGTTATGAAGGAAGAGGGTGAACATAAATTAAGAAATATGGTTATTAATGAAATTATAAATACCGAGAAAGATTATATAGCCGATTTAAATACAATAGTAAACTTCTTATTGACACCACTAAGAGAGAGCAAAATTATAACCGAGAAGGATATTTCAACCATTTTTTCAAACATTCAGTCACTTTTAAATGTCAATAAAGAGTTATTAAGTGATCTTATACGGGTAGCACCTGATGAAAAGCCAGAGTCGACTATTGGTATAAGGTTCATTTTCTTTTTCAATTACTTAAAGATTTATAGTTCGTATTGTGCCAATCAGACTATATCATCAGATCACATTGTTCGTTGTAGTAAAAAGATACCAGCATTTAAACAATTTTTAGAAGAGAAACAAGCATCTCCAGAGTGCCGTCAATGTAATCTCGAAAGTTTTTTAATTAAACCAGTTCAAAGACTTTGCAAGTATCCATTGCTTTTAAGGGAGCTCATTAAGAACAGTCCTCCTGACCATCCAGATCTTGAAAATCTCGAAACAGCTTATACGGCAATTCAAACCGTTGTATTATCAGTAAATGAAAGTAAAAGAAAGGCCGAGGTTCATCAAAAAATGTATAAAATCCACGAGAAACTAGAAGCTCCAGAGAAATTTGTATTCTTTACACCAACCCGTCATTTAATCCGTGAAGCTACTTTTGGTGAATTAAATGATGAAAAAGATAGAATTATTTGTTATATGCACTACTATCTCTTTAATGATATCATCATGAGAACTCAAAAGGACAAGAAATCAATCAAATTAGAAACTCTTTTTATCATTGCCTCAACAAATATAGATGATGAAGAAATTAGAAATTCTCCAATTCCTTATACTTTTGAAATTAGTTTACCAGGAACAACAGGTAGAAGATTTACATTGGTAGCAGAATCTTACGAACAAAAAATGGAATGGTGCACAGATTTGGAAGAGTTAATCAGACCTTATCGTGAGGAGCACGAAAGAGAAGCCGATAAATATCTAGATCATATTAAACGTAGTACTATTGCCACCGCTAGTCCATCTCAATCCAACGATACACCAAAATCACTTCATCGTGCTGCAACTGCTTCAGGTTCTTTGGGCGGTCAACCAACATCTCCATCACCAAAGCATGCTATTCCATCAAAACCTTTACCACCTCCACCACCAAAAACAAACAAACCATCCATTCCACAACAGTCAGCAACACCAACAACACCAACACCAATCGAATCACCACAGACACCAGTTGAATCACCACAAATACCAGTTGAATCACCACAAACACCTACTCCAACAATTAACAAACCAAAACCAGCTTTTGCAAAGAGATCATTTATTACAAACTCATCAACAAATACAACTACAGTATCGCAACAAGCAAATGCCGCAACAGAACCAAACCAACCTACTCAATTTAAAGCAAAAAGAGCTTCGGTTGTACCAATAACTGAGCACACACCAAATGAAACACCTACCTCATTTAGACCTAAATCAACTCCACCACAACCAATTGAACAAATAACTGCTAAATCTTCAAGACCATTACCTACTCCAGGTAATACTAACAACAATAATAATAGTTCACCACCAACACCAACACCAACACCAACACATGCACCAACACCAGCATCTCAGCAACCAGCAGCAACTACTGTTAGACCATTACCAAAACCAGCACCTCCAATTGCAAATAATAACACAGAGCCACCAAAACCAATTTCATTCCCATCAAAATTATCTCAATTAAAACAAGCTGCACCAAATAATAGCGTAAGATCTCACTCAACATTTACACCATCATCATCATCAAACACATCATCAGCCTCATCATTTGTACCATCATCTGTGAAAAATAAACCACAACAACCAGAAACTAAAGATGATTTAGCAATTCCATCCTCAACCAATAGCACAGATTCGAATAAGGGTAGATTTATGCCACTCCCTCCAACACGTTCAGCTTCAAATCTCCCAAGTACTACCAATATTGGATCTTCATCACCATCACCTCACGAACCAATCAATACCACTATCAATACCAATGCAATGAAAGCTCCACCAATTGTACCATCACCAAATACAAAAAAACCAATAGTTCCACCAAGAAAATAATGAAAAAAAGTATATTTATTTATAGTTAATTTTATCCTTTCTCTTTTTCAAGGTATTGTTATTTAACAATAATAACAATAATAATAATAATAATAATAATAATAATCATAATCTTATTTATAATATATATAAAATCAATGTAACATTAAAATTTGCTGTGTGAAACAGTAAAAAATCAATATCTCAATAAAATTAAATAAAGTAATATGCTTTATTTTGTTCAATATTAATTTGACAAAAAATATGAACTAAATAAAGTAATTGCTTTTTTTTTGAAGTTAATATTTTTTTTGTGCATAAGGTTTTTTTTTTTTTTGTGAATAAATTTTTTTTTTTTTTAAAAACATTGTTGGTTGAAGATATTTTTTCAATCAACAATTTTAATTATTTTTTATTTTATTTTTTTGAGGACAACACGGACATAATATCCAATGGTGTGAAAACTTAAATAAAATTAAAAAAAAAAAAAAAAAAAAATTAATGATCTCGTGAATTTTCTAATGACAGAATCTTTGTTATTAAGTTTTTTTTTTTTTTTTTTTTTTTTTCTATTTTTTTTCATAAAAGCTAAATATTTTTTAAATCTTTAAAAACACAAAAAAAAACACACACACAAAAAAAATATTATAAAAAATGGATTACGATTGCTATGATATTCATAATAATGATGTAATTAAAAAATTAATAGAGTTAATTTCAAAAATAGAAATAATTGAAAAAATCATCAATATAGTTACCCAAAGTGATTTATTCAAAATTTTTTCAGGCAAATATTCACTAGCAATAACATATTTGGTATTTATTGTTTTAATTGGATCCTTTAAATTAATTGTAAAATATAAACAAAATTGGAGGCTACCAAAAGTTATTATTATTGGAACTCATGGTTTCTTTTTAATATTGGTTGTTTTGGAAATTATTAATGATTTCTCAAAATATGGTTTCTCTTCATCTTTTTCAAACTCAAATTCAAGTGAAACATTTTCTAATTTCTTTATGTTATTCCATACAATAAAGGTAATTATAATATAAAATTTAAAGTAAAAAATAATTAAATAAAAAGTAGTTTATTAACAAAATTTTATATTATTTCTTTTTTATTTCAAATTTAGAATGTTGTTGATTTTGTCAGAGAGAAAAAAGATAGATGCACATGTTTCGAAGAAGATGAAAGAGATGGTATTGAGTTATTATCAAGTACAGAAATCGAACACGAAAATAACTACATAATAGATCTTATAAATTCAAAAAATAAAAAAAAATATATAAGATTGGAATAAATATTCAGGTTATAAAATTTAAACTTAAAAATAATAAAAAAAAAATAAATAAATATAATAGGGGGCACCCCATAACCAGAAATAAATAAAAGAAATTTTTAAATATCACATACCTAATTATTTTTTTTTAAATTTTTTCTTTATCATGTCTGTTATATAATAAACAATACTAATTTTTTTAACAATTCATTAGGATTGTTACAGTAATAAAACATAATATCTAACAACTTGTGATCAAAAAATATTCCCACCTTTTTGCACCCGTGTTAAAATTAACTTAATTTTTTTAAGTTTTTGGTAATTTTTATTTAATCAAAATTTTTTTTAAAATTGGGTCTTTTTTTTTTAATTAAATTTTTTTATTATAAAATTTTTATAGATTTTTTTTTAATATTATACACTTATATTTAAATTTTAAATTTTTTTTTTTCATTTAAAATGGATAAAATGGATAGAATAAAAGATTATTCAGTTATTTGTTTTTATTCGATATCTTTATTTATTGGAATAATTTCTTATTTTATTAAAAATAGAAAAGTGGGTTTTGTTTTAGTGTTTATAAAAATTATTTTATTATGTATATTATTTTATAATTTCGCAAAATTTCCTTTTGATCCCATCAATTCTTTAAAGAATAATCATGTGGAGTCTTTGCTTTTAAGGGTTCTCCTTTCCCTTTACTTTTTAATAGTAAGTTTTTATAATTAAAAATTAATATTTGGAATTGTTATTTATTAATAATCAATTATTTTTATAGAGCATTATAAAATTTTTATTTAAGAAAAATCAAAAAATGACTTATACTATAATGCTAGATAACATTGTGGTAAAGAGCAACAATCAAACTATATAGTTGATTAAAGAAATATTTATTTTAAAAATTAAATAAAATTTGTTTATTATTTTATTATTTTAAATTTTTTAAATTTTTTAAATTAAATTATAGCGGTTTTATTAATAAGTTAATTAATGGAAATCAATTAATTAATTAAATTGTTTTAATCTTGAAATTTGAAAATAAATTTTATTAAATGTTAGGAGTAGAGGTTAGTTGTTAATAAAAAGCTAAAGCTCCATCTACATTACATTTCTTAATTTTTTTTTTTTTTTTTTTAAAAGTGAAGATAGTTAAAAGCAAATGTAAATTAATCAGTAAAATTTTATTTAATGTTTTTTTTATAAAGTTTTTAAAGAAAATATTCTAAACTGTTGATATTTGGTAAAGATTTGATGCTGATGAAGTATGCTCTTGCTATTCTTCTTTTGAATTTTCTATATTCTTCATTGATGTTGCTGTTTGTGGTTGTTTAGCTTGTCTTTCCTTGATGTTTTTTAAACCTTTTAAGTATTCTAAAGTAGCTAGTTTAGTCCATTTTGAGGTTAGATTCTTATTTTTTTTTTTTTTTTTTTTTTTTTTTTTTTTTAAAAAATCTTACTTAATAATATAATTTATATTATTAGTGTAAGAGACGGTGTATTAGATTCTTATAATCGAGTTCTTTTATTGTATTTTCTTGATCGTCATATATTTCTTAACACAAACCCTTTTAACATAATCACCCGGAAGAATTTATCAATAAAAAAGATAATTGCAAGAGGCGAGATTCGAACTCGCGAACCGACAGGATGAGATCTTAAGTCACACGGATTTAACCAGGCTTTCCTACCCTTGCTTTGTTGAAAAACTAAATTTTTGTATTATATTAGGTGAATTAAAACATCATCAGGAAGATGAGTTTTTGTTGAATTTCTCCAGACTATCTTCAATGCGTGAAGACTTTGACCAAAAGACCAAGTTTATTGCTTTAAATTATCATGATGAATTAATAAAAAATATTTTCAAAATTAAAATAACCAAAAATATAATAACACAAACTAAATAATCAAAAAATTAAAAAAAAAATTTGAAATTTATTATTAATAATTAGATTTATCACATATTTTTTTATTTGTAAATTTTTTTACTATTTTTCAATTGGGTCCTTTTTAATTTTTACCTAAAGAACAATTCCATCTTTAATTTAAAATATAATATTTATTAAACCTTTCGAATATATTATAATTATTTTGATTAAGGAGAGAAGTAATCACATGTGGTTAAAAAACCCACTTTTAAAATAAATTTTGATAAAAAAAAAACCTCCGATTTCAAAAACAACCCCCTTTTTTTTTTTAAAAATTTTTTTTTATTTTTTTATTTATATTTTAATTTTTTTTTATTTTAATTTTTTTTAAATTAATTTTTTTTTTATAAATAAATAAATAGTATTAAAATTAAATTTTGTTTTTATAATAATAATATTAATATAATTTTTTTAAAAAATAAAGAAATAAAGAAATAAAGAAATGAGTAAAGATACAGAAATATATAAAATAGATGATGCAAGTGAAGAAAAAACTTTTGAAGAAGGCAAAGATGAATCAAGGTTACAAATTGTTTTTAGATTTATAAAATCATTCAATTTAAAACTAGGTGCAAATATTAACAAGGCCCCAATACCAGTATCATTTTTATCACCAAAATCAACCATATATAATTATCTAGAAGGTTACTATTCAAACTTTGATATATTGTTAAAGTAATTATTATTTAATAAAAATTAAAAAAAAATTTATGCTACTTATAATCTTTTAAAGCCTAAATAATATAGAAGATAGTTTAGAAAGATCAATACAAGTATATCGTTGGATTTTATCTTCATTTTCTCATACTTCTGTGGTAAGTTTCTTTTTTTTAAATATTGCAATTAAAATAATATTAATATGTTATTAATTTTTTTATAGTTTGGAAAACCAGTAGTACCAATTTTAGGTGAAACATTGATGGGAAATTTCCACTGCAAGGATGAAAATGGGCAAATAGAGACTGAAAATTACTACTGCACAGAATGTATATCTGAAGAAACTGAAACTGCAACAGGATGTATTTATAATAAAAAGCATGGTATTAAAGTCAACTATTTATATACAGTAAACTATTATTTTATGGGTACAAATATTAAGGTAGAACTTGTTGGTTATCTCAAAGTTAAAATAGACAAGTACAATGAAACTTACAGCTGCCCTCCACCACTCCTATGTGCCCGTTTCTTAAGAGGTTTTAGTGAAATAGTTGGAGAAACTACAATCACATCAGATAAATCAAAATATAAATTGCAATTAAAATATTTTGAAAAACCCCTATTTGGTGGTGATTATGATAAGGCAGAAGTTCAAGTTATTGACACGGAAACAAATCAAGCCACCCATTTAATACAAGGAAAATGGAGCAACGATTTTAAAATTCAAGATTTAAAAACTAAAGAAACAAAACCATTATTCCAAAGACCTGCTGCCACAAGTATAGTCCAGTTAAACCAAGATAAAGAATTGCCAAGTGATTCAAGCAATATTTGGAAGGATTTTACAGATGCACATAATGAAGGCAATAATAGTAAAAAATTCAATGAAAAAAAAAAATTGGAAAAACAACAAAAACAATTATTGGATGATAGAAAGAAAAATAACATTGTATGGGAACCTAAACATTTTGTTCAAAATAAAGAAAAGGAATGGGATTTAGTAAACTATTAAAAAATAAAATTAAGTTTTGTTTTATAATTTTATAAAAATAAATAATTTTTTTAATTTTTAAATGATTTTATTTAAAAATGAACTAAAATAAATATAACATTAAAACAATAGTATTACAAGTTTTATAATTGTTGATAATTAAATTAATTATTGTACAATGTTTTTGAAATCTGAACAGGAGATGAAACATTCACCTACTGGGTCAACACGTTGCCAACGAGTAAGTAAAACAGCATTGCTAAATCTAGTTGGTAAATTTAAGGTGAAGGAATAACCATTTGAAGCACCACAATTTGGATCACTCATTGAAATGAGGGTTGGGTTTTGGAAAGTCTGGAATAAAGTTAAATCAGACCATTTTAATTCAGTTGTTGCTGGGTTATAACCTGGTTTTGAAATATAGAATTCAAAGAAAGATGGGAGATGACTTGCAGTGGCACAAAATTTAGCGGTTATGGTTTTGGTTAAAGCACCGTTAGCAGCAGGTATCTGAGTTACACTCCAATTAGAAGCAATTGACATACCACTTTTATCATTTGGTGATACTGTATTACCAGCAGAACAAAGTGCTTTTGGAACAGCAGTTTGAAGAGCAGATGCACCAGCTGCATAATTTGGAATTAAAACAGAGTATTCATTACTTTGAGTAAACTGATATTGGCCACTTCCACCCTTGTTGTAAACATATTTAAATGCAGCTCTACATGCTGGATCAGCAATACCATCACCATTTTCAGGCCACCAAAAGGAACCTGCACCTTTGTTACATTTTTGTTGTCTGGAAATTGGATAAACGAAATATCCATGACCATTAACTAAAGAAATAAAACAAACTACAAAACTAATAATTAAAATTAATTTTAACATTTTGAATAATTTTTAATAAATAAATAAATAAATAATATGATGATTTTAAAAAAAAAAAAAAAATTTATTTATACTTTTTTTTGTTTAAATTCATGTTAAAATTATAATATTAAATGAATTATTAGAAACTCAAACAAAAAAAAAAAAAAAACCATGGTTTTTTCTAATATGTAATAATGGTTATAATTTTTATGAAAACAAATCTTTTAATCAAAATTTATTTGAAATAATATTAAGAGCTGAATCTACATTTCTAAATATAAAAAAATCATATGATCACTTTTTAAAATAGTAATTTGTTTTTACATTTTAAAATAAAAAAATAATTATTTTAATATTTTTTCATTGAGAATTAATCTCTGTTTATTTTAAAATTAATATTAAAAAAAAATAAACAGTTAACATAAAACATATAAAAGGATGAAAAATATTAATACTAATATTAATATTTATTTGAAATCTTTAACCCTAAAAAAAAAGAGATAGTTTTAAGATTTAAAAATATTAAAGTAAAATAAAATAAACACACCAAACCAAAAAATTGGCATAGTTTTTTTTTTTTTTTTTGTTTTTAACAATGTGATCAATTTTGAAAAATATTAATAATAAATTATTAATAATTTCAAAAGATAATATAATATTAATATATTGAAATATATTATTATATTATATTTAAATTTTTTTTTTTTTTGTTTTTTATTATAAATGATTAATTATCTTTTTTTTCATTTGAAATTGTAGCAATTGAAAATTGACATAATAAATTTTTAGCAGCATTTGAATGACCATAAACTTCACCGGTAAACATTTTAGTAGCATCTTTACCAATACCCATATTAATATATGAAAGGCCACCTGGATGATCGTTCATAAAGGTTTCGACATCTAAAACATTATCATTGATGATGATTAATTTTCTGTTTTGTTTGGTAACTAATTGGTCGAATTCTTCCATTGTCATTGATGGGAGGTCTTCTTTTTTAATACCCCAATAAATTGATTCTCTCTTTTGTGCAATATGTTTTTCATGCATTTGGAGCATACCCTTTTGAATTTCGTTATCTGAGAAGGTCTTGAGGTTATAAGCTAAACCAACATAAGATAAAATATTAATTAACCATTTAGTTGGATCGTATTGATAGATTTTGTAAGCATTTCTGTAATCACTTGGGAATTCGTGATGGAAATTGTGGTAACCTTCACCAAAGGTTAAAACAGCGGTAACAAAAGAGTCTTTTGGAGTATGATTGTCATCATATGGTGTATCACCGAGGTAATGAGCCAAAGAATTAACCATAAAAGTAGAATGTTGAACTGTTACAAGACGAAGAACACCAGAGTAGAAATAACCACCAGCCCAATCACCCCAGCCAAAACCAGCGACAAGAGTTGGGAAAATAAAGCCCATAAAAGTAGCGATTTTAAGATAGTTTTTATGTTGCCACATAATCCATGGATCTGCATTTAAATCGTCAATGTTAGCTCTACCAATTTTCTTTGGGTCTTGTTTCATCATTAACCAACCGAAATGGCTCCACCAGAAACCGTAATGAGCACTATATGGATCTTTTTCAGTATCGATGTAACGATGATGAGCACGATGATCTCTGCACCACCAACGGCATGAACCTTCAACAGCACCTGCACCAAATATTAAGAGTGCAGCACGGAGTGGGGCTTTAGCACTATAAGCTCTGTGTGACCATAATCTGTGATAACCAGCAGTAATACCCATACCAGTCATATGATAGTAAATAAAAGTCCAAACAAAAGTTTTCCAGGTTAATGAGACAGTGAGCATACCATAAATTGCAATGATTGGAGTACCAATTAAAAGACCAAAATGAAGCCAGTTGATAGCTTTGAGGAATTCTTTAACGGTTCTACTTGGACGAGTGCTAGCTGGGGCATCAACTGGTTGTTTTGGTACCAATGGAGCGACATCGAATGGTGAGAAGATTTGATTTGAGAAATCTTGACTACGATTGATTAATTCTTTAAAGAGCTCCATTTCAAAAGTGCATTCATAAATGTATTCACCCCAGCTCTTCTTGAAGGCTTGATAAGCTTTTCTAAGATTGTAATGTGGAATGGTAACAGCTATTTGACGTGGAAGTGAAAAGTTGATATCTTTAACAATAAATTCGAACCATTGTGGATAGGTGATGTGAACTAAATAGTTTTGTTTCTTGTTTTTATCGGCAATAGCAGCTTGTTGGATCTCTTCATAAAATGGAATTGATGGTAAGAGTGAAGCAGTTGATAAAAGGAAATGGAGGATTAACCATGGAGCGAACCAATAGTTTAAGAAACCACTAACACCAACAAATTTGATCATCATTGGGAAAAAGATGAAACCAAAAATATAAACGATTACAATAGATGCAAAAGCTTTACTTTTATCTTGTTTGTCACTGAGGTTTTTAACTGAAAAGTATTTCTCTGCCCAATTAATAATTGAAAGAATCCAAAAGAATTTACCTGTGGCCCATGTTCTAAAATAACTATCTTGGTTTGATGACTTGTTATCAATAGCATTAATTTCGAATTGTTCCATTTTATTTTTATTTGCTGTATTGTTTTTTTCTGAAATCTTGTAAGATTGGAATGGATAGAGTAATGGTAACATAACAATAGTACCAATAATTGAATTGACTAATGAGTTGTTTGAGAAGGTTTTGTGAATACAATCATTACCAATTACCATTAACTAAATATTATTTATCATTTTTTTATTAATTATTTGTAAAAAAAAAAATAGAATTAATATATTTTGAAAAATTAAAAAAAAAATTTTAAAATATAAAAATATAAAAAAATAAAAAAAATAAAAAAATTATTCCAAAATTAAAAAAATACGGAAAATAAAATAAAAACAATATATATGAAATAATAACAAAAATAACAGTGACAATGATTAAAATAGAAATTAAAAATATAATTTGAATACTTACACCAGTTACTGAGGCACCCATTAACATCCAACCAATTGGATAGAGATAGGATGGAACTAAATTAATAAAAGTAATACTGAGACCAATGAAAAGAATGGTAATAAGTAATGAGGTGAATGATCTAAAATTACTTGTTTCGAAAACTTCTTTTGGGAGTGTTTGCAAGATTTGATCGATAGTAATTTCATTTGGTAATGATTTTGGTTGCTTTCTATTGGATTTAATAGAACCATAAACAACTTTTGGATATGGTTTTTCTTTCAGTGGAACCCCACTGCCTTTACCCATTTTTTTTTAAATACCAATTATCTTTTTATATAAAATTATAAATTATAAAATTAAAAAATTTAAATTAAAAATAAAAAAAAAAAAAAAGAAAAATCTAATTCTTTTTCTTTATTTATATAAAAATATAATATATATATTACAATAAAATTTATTATAACACAATAAAAAAATAATAATTTTTTAAATAAAAAAAGAAAAAAATATTTTTAATCAAAATAATTTAATTTTTTATTTTAAAAAATAAAAAAATTTTTTATTAAAAAAAAAAATAAAATCAAATTTTGACCCATTATGCCGAGACCAATAACTAAATATATTTTTAATCACATTTCCCAACACTAATTTTAAACCCACCACCAACACCAACCACAACAAAACAATAGCATTTGATTTTTCTTTGTATTTTCGAATTTAAAAAAAAAAAAAAAAAACTTAAAAGTAAAACATAATAAAAAATTTTATTTTAAAAATATCTTTTTTTTTATTTTTTTATTTTATTAATAAAATAAAAAAATAAAATAATAAAATTTTATAAAATCCATTTTTTGCATGCTGATTTTTCACTGGTTTTAAATAATTACAAATAGCTATATAATCAATTTCAAAAATAATAAAGTATAAATTAAATTGTAATAATAGTAGTATTTTTTTTTTAATTTTGGTAACCAGTAATATAAAATGGTAAATTTTTAATTTTTAGGGTGAGCAGTGGGAAGAAAAGATTTCTGTGTGATCAAAACTTTTTTTGTCAAAAAAAAAAATATCTAAAAAAAGTCGAAAAAATACGGTGTCTTTTGCTTTTTAGGTGATTGTTTTTTATCAATTAAAAACGCGTTCACATTCGCAATAATTAAAAATTTTTCGAAACCATAACATTATTTTTATTATTTTGTACCAGCCAGTTGTATAGATATATTATTTTATTTATAAAAAAAATTATAAATTTTATTTCTTATTTAGATTATATCAAATAAAATTTACAATAAAAAAAAAATAGATAATATTAAATAAAATGGTTATAATAAAAATAAAATTTTAATTAAAAAAAAAAATATTGTTTACGCACCAATACTAAAATAAAGAGGTGGGATGGAAAATAAAAAAAGTTAGAATGCTCGCAAAAGTCATTTAATAAACCCCAACAGTCACGTCTTTTTGTCAAAAAAAAAAAAAAAAAAAAAAAAACCCTAAATTTTTTTTTTTTCAATATATCTAAAATAATAATAAATTTTCTCTATTATTATTTGTTTTAAAATGAAAATACTTTTATAATTTCTTTTTTTTTTTATTTTTATAATTTTATAATTTTATATTTTTATTAAAATTATTTTTTGTTAACTTTTGAATTTGTAATTAAACTTGTATTTAAATCTAAAAGTGTTGATGATAATAGTTTTACAAGAGAGGTGAGTTGAGAATCAGAATCAGCATCAGCATCTTGTTCTGAGGATGAAGCAGCTTTTACACCAGTAAGAATTTTGAATTGACAACTAAGAGTTTTTAGAACATTTACGCTGTGACTCATACGGGATTGTAAAAGTTTATTTGTACTCGATTTGGCTGTTGTTGAAACTTCATCTGAATACTTATTTAATAAAACTGAAATATTTCTGCTACAAAGAACCATTAATTGTTTTTGATTGGTTTTGATTGCATTGGCATAGAGTTCAAGCTCTTTTGCTATATCTGTCACTTTATGATTATCCAATCCACTATTGGAGTTTTGAATTTGGTTTGATGCATTAATAACTGAATCTTCTAAAGACATTGGATTGTTATTAATTGGTAGTGGAGCAGAGGTGGTTGGTTTTGATGAACCATTACCAGTATTTGATTTTGTGGGGGTAATTGGATTTGATAATTTAACAGGTTTTCTAATTTCTTGTGGTTGTTGTGGTTGTTGTGGTTTTTGTTGAACTGGTGGTTTATTAATATTAACTGTTGAAACAACTGGACTGGCTGAAGAATTACTATTGGTGGTAACTGTAGTATTGGGTTTTATAGCTGCAGTATTATTTGCTTTGGCAGTATTATTTGTATTTATTAATTTTTGACTAATTGACATTGCTCTTGGTTTATAGTTTACACTTGCGGTTGAAGTAACTCTTTGGAGTACTGGTTGTTGAGTGTTTGTTTGAACAGATACAAATCTTTCAATTTTATTTGGGTTTGCAGCAATTGGTAAAAGGTTATTTGTTTTAATTGAGGCAACTAATTGCTGTAATGTTTTAGACTTTGATTGGGAGTTTTGATTAATTTTTTCTCTCTTTTCTAAAAGTTCAGGGATTTCATTACTGTAGATAGCATTCATAGCATTCTTTAAAGCAGAGAAGGCCATTTCTTGTTCTGCAATAATATTTGGTGTTATACTATTATAGTTCTTTAAATAGTCTTTTGAAATGGTTGAAACATCTGACATTTTGGATTTGATTTGTGCTTCAATTTCGTCAATATTCTTTTTGTTGCTATTATTATTATCTTGTTTTAAAATTGGTTTTATTTTATTTTGAATGTTTTGTAACTTGGTTAATAGTTGATTTACTTTAGGTTCATTGTTTGATTTTAATGCATCGTTTAATTGATTTAAAGTTGATTGATGTTCTTTAACTGCAGTTTCAAAGTTGTAGATTGGATCAATTGAGTCTAGTATCGAAAGAATTTCATAAATTGGGGTTTCGATTTTATTTAAAAGGGTTTCTAAATGTTCTCTCTTTGTTTGATCATCTGAATTACAATTATTTCTTGATGCTCTAATTAATTCTGGTGTAGTTGTTTCAATTTCATTTAAACATGAAATAATGGTTGCTTTCTTTTCTGGATTGCTAATATGTATTAAATCTTTTGCTAATTGTTCTTTTAATTTTGAATAGTTGCTAAGAATTTCTTTTGACTTTTCATCAATTTTACCTACATTACCACCATTATTCAATTTTGAAGAGTTTGTAACCATCTTTTGAATTAAATCTAAGTGGTTTGATAATAACTCTAAAGAGTTTGTATTGGTTTCATCTGCTAATTTATTAATTGCGTTTTGGAATGAGTGAGATTCTTTTTCAAATTGTGCTCTATTAGATGGATTCTTTGGATTTAATGAGTATAGTTGAATGGTATTTGTTAAGTTAGTTGGTTGGTTCTTATTTAAACGTTTTTCCAATTCTTCACATGCATCTCTAACTCTTCTTTGTTTTTCTTTGTCAAATACTTTTAACAATTCATTATTACCTGCCTCTAATGATTGATTTGCAATATGTTCAAGTTTTCTTAAGTTGTTTCTTAATTTCTTTTCGTCTTGATGAACTTGACCATTATTGTCAATTTCTTTGGTAATCTTTTTGAACTGATCCCTGTAGAATGGTACTTTGAGGTGTGGTAATGATGGTGAAATTTGGTTTTCAATTTGATTTAGATTTCTCTTTATTTGGTTATTAACATGTGATATCTTTTTTTGAAGTGCAGCTTCGGTTGGAATGTCTGTAGATTGTAACATTTGTTTGATTGTAGTTAGCTGCAATGGAATTAAAAGTGTGAGCTCTTTTGAACATTCTTTGATAATCTCCTCACTGCCTCCAATTGGTGGTAATGATTCATCATTTATAAATTGATCAGCCAAGGAAACAATCTCTTGATGTAATTTAACCAATACTCTTGATGATTCAACAACACCTTTCGAGTCTGATTCTAATGCATTTGCTTCTAATTTATTAAGTTCAACATTTTCGTCATTAACCAATTTCTTTAATTTCTTAAAATTATTGTAATATTGATCATCAGATGATGTTGATGATGAATCGTTGTTTTCTAGTTTATCTAATTTAAAGTTTTCATTAAAGTTTTGATTTAAAATTAAATCTTCCAATGGTTCAATAATTTGGTTAAGGATTTTTTCGTAATCATTTTTATATTGATTATCTTGTGGATTTGAGTTTAATTTGGTTTTGGCTAATGTTAATGATGGTAATACAGAGTTAATAGATTGTTTAATGGTTTCAGATGAGAAAGTGGGTGAGTGTTGTTGATTTGATTTTGCAGTGAATACAGATTTGGCAAGGGTTGAAACAGAGTCACGAACTGTATCAATGACGGTAAGAAGTTTTTCGATGGCCTCTTCTTTGTTGTTATTTTTTGTATCAAGGAATACCAAAGATGATTCGACTTGTTCAATTATACTCTTTTTAACAGTTTGGATAGAGTTGATTAAAAGTTTTCTAACATTGTTATCTACTGAGGAGGAGTCAATGCTATTTAAATACTCGGTTGCCATTAAGAGTAGTTCTGACTGTTGATAGACAATATTTTCGATGGCTTGTGAAATTAAATCGTCCTTGTCGACTTCATAGGCTGTTTGAATGTAGTATCTTGAGTTTAATTGATGTTTTTCAAAACCTTTGATGGGAGCATCGACTTGATTTAATGCATTTAATAAAGCTAAAAGTGTTGTTGGGTTTTGATTCTTTTGTACTTGCTCGAGTTCACCATTCTTAAATTCGAGTGATGCTTCTTTTGAGTATGTTCTAATGTGATTTAATAAATCATTTTGATTGCTTTTTTCTTTTAATAATTGATAGGATGCTAATAATTCAATATTTGGATTTAATACCAATAAATGAGTTAATTCGATAATTGATTTCTTTACAGTTTTGGTAGCTTTACTAAGTGATATTTCATTCTCTGGTAAATTGGCTTTACCTGCTAAACTAATTGCTAATGCAACAGAGTTTTTAAATAGCTGGATAGATTTGGCGACTTGGTCCTTAAATGATTGGCTTTTACTCTTTAATGATAGTTCATTTGCAAGTTGAATAAGTTTATCTTGTTCAGAAATTAATTGTTTTAATGTAAGCATTGATTTGTTGGCTTCACTTTTTTTGATGTGCTGAATCAAGTCATTGAATAGTGACAATAGCTTTTGATCATTTGAAAGCTTTTCTAATTTTTTAAATTCTTCTTCTTGTTGTTGCTCTAATTTTCTTTCATTCTCTTTGTTTTCTTGAATAATTTCAAATTCTTTTCTAAATAATTCATCATCTACTCCGTCATTATTTGATGATAGCAATGCAGCTTCTAAGGGTGGTGTTGTCATTAATGATAATAGTGATGATGTTGATGTTGATGACTTCATACCGCCACTTCCACCCTCAACAACTTTATCGTATAGCTTATTTGATAAATCATTTATACCATTTAATTTGTTTATTATATTGTCTGTAGTGTAGTCTAAATTATTGCCAATATTTTGGAGTTGATTTGATTTGATTCCATTGTTAACTTCTTTATTTAATTGATTTAAATAATTTTCCAATTCTTTAATTTCTTTAAAGAGTAATTCCTTTTCTTCCTTATTTTCATTATTCAAAAGGTTATCGTTCAAGTTGTTACCATTGTAAATGATAGCATTGACCCTATTGTTGATATCTTTGAGGATGGATTGTGCCTTGGTTGGGTTTCCTTGTTTAGCAGCTTCTAATAATTGAATCTTTAATAGTGGTATAGCTTCAAGCGATTTCATTGAATCTGTGAGTGATTTTGAAAGATTAGCAATTTTTTGATTACATTGAATAAGTTGATTTTGAGTGTCTTTATTATGTGGATCTTTTAATAACTTGGTACTGAGTCCTCTACGTTCAGAAACATGTTGTAATAATTGATCGCTTGTGGTTTTTATCATTTTTTCAAGTAATGGGTCGTCGGCTAGAATTGTTTCACCTTGAACAATTGATACTAATGTGGCATTGGCCATTTCCAAATCCTTTAAAATTTGCTCTACTCTATTAGCGTCACCTTGCTTAGCGGCTTCAATAATCATGGCTGAACCATTGACTTGTTTAGCTAAAATTTCATCACTGTCATTATATTTATTTGGTTCCATTAGACTTACAATCTTTGATAATGGTAATTTCATACGGTCACCAATCTCTTGGAATTGTGATTTGGTTTCTGGATTGTTTGGATCTTTTAAGTAAAGTTTGGCGGCTTGAATTTGTAATGGTAAAAGTTCAGAAAGTTTAGAAACAGCTTCATTAATTTCTTCTGGGCTATTTTCGCCAAGAATTGATTCTAATTGAGTTTGATTTTTTGCTAAATGTTTAAGAGTGCCTACTATTGCGGCATGATTTTGTACAGAGTCTTGAAGAACTGCCAAGCCATCTTCTTTTGCTTTAATTATATTTAAAAATTGAGATTCTTTACTTGAAACTATTGAGCTTAGATTACCAAGATTTTCGTGAATAGAGTCTAATACCTCTACAACCTTATTAATATCCTGTTGAATCTCTCCAAAGTTGTCACTTGATTGTTGCTTTTCAATTACCAATTTGGCTCTCTGTAAAAGTCCTGGAACTAGTTCGTTCATAATCATTTTTGATATTTGTTTAGCTTCTTCTTGACGTTCATCTTTAGAACCACCTTGGGTTTGTTCTTGTGCCCATTTATTTACATTTTCATCCAACATTAATGTTATTTTTTCAACAGAGTTTGAGATGATTTCATTTGCTACTGGATCGACTCTACAAACTGCCCTTAATAGTTCAACAGATGATTTTGAAACTCCTCTAATTAAATCGTCAAGTATTGATGTTTCATTATCATTTATATTTGGATCTGTTGTTGAATCTTGATCTACTGCTCCTGTAGTTGAAGAGGCTAGAGGAGCTAAATAGTTTATATTTAGTGAAAGTGATGGTGAATTTAATTCGATGGTTGAGTAGGTTTTATCAAGTAAGCTATTTAATGAATCTTGTTGTTGAATAAATAATTGTTTTTGTGATGGATCGTCAATATCAGCAAACATATCATTAACGATATCGATAAGTCTATTACCCTCAACCTCAATTCTATCAGCATCTTGAATTAACTCATCTGAAACCAATGGAGCAATATCTCTAATTTCCTTGGCCTTAACATTAACATATGATGAATATTCTAATAGGCTACTTATTGATTCATTAATTATATCACCAAATTTATTAAACTCTGAATTATCGACCAAGTGGAATGAATTTAAATTAGTTTTCATTTGTTCCTTTGATAAATCATTTAAATGCTTTAGTCTATACAAAAAATATTTTGAAAAAGTTAGTTCGTTAACAATTGATATATATTTATATTATTAAATAATTACCTTTTGATATCAGCATCATAAATTACTTGTAAAATTGTATAAGTTTCTGTAGCAATACATTTGCATGATTCGATTAAAGCATTCCATGATGCATTTTTATTATTATTATCAAAATTTGTTACAGCATATAATGTTTGTTTTTTAATTTTTGACATTCTGGATGTAGTTTCAATAATTTCATTATAGATATTTGTAAATTTTGAATATTCATCGTTTGCCAATTGCACAGCAACGTCAGATAGTGATGATGCTGCATTTGCAATTGCTGTCTACAAATATTTAATTAAAAAGATAATTAATATAATCCAACACTATCCAATAGTATGGTACCATAGTGATATACTTACAACTTCAACTACTGGAGCACTTTCATTTTTTTCTTTAGTTGTTAATACGGTCAAAATAAATTGACTGATATTTTCTGATAATTGCTCTAATAGTTGTTGAGCTAAAAATAGTTATATATTTGTAAATAATCACGATGGAGAGAATATCATATAAAATAATAAATAAATATAATATTTTAAAAAAAAATTATTAGTATTTATAAAAGTAAATATTTTTTTTTATTTTTTATAAATATAATAGTTACCAAAAGATCTTTCCATTTTTAATTATAAAATTGCATTACCAAAAACCCTTTTAAATATTAGTTTATAAAATTATTATTTTTTTTTTTTTTTTTATAGAAAGATTAAAAAAATTTGAATTTAATTATTTTTTAATGCGGATGTTATTAAATTGTTAAATTATTAAATAAATAAAGTTAAATCAGGTTTAATATGATAATAAAATTTTAAATTAACTTTTCTTTCTTTTTTTTTTTTTTTTTTTTTTTTTTTTTTATATTTTTTTTTAATTTTTTTTAATTTTTTTTAATTTTTTTTATAATTTTTAAATTTTTTTTGAAAAAAAAAGATGGGTTTTGTGTGGGTGTGCGATGTGAATGGCTTTAAATTGTTATTTTTGTATGCATATTTTATGATTTAACAAAATTAGAATTTTAAATAAAACACATATATAGAATAAAAAATTTCCTTTTAATATATATATTAAATATCACTATTTATGCACAGATATACTAAAACTGTATGGATTATTGACTTATGAAAAATCATTATTTCAATAATTTGAATAAAAATTTTGAAAAAAAAAAACAATGATTAAAAAAAAACTAATGTTTAAAAAAAAAATTTTAAAAAAAATTTTCAGAAATGGGAGGGAATAACATACAATCATTTTATTATACTGACTATAAAATTCACAATATTTCAAAAAATACCAGCTATTAATAAGAAAATTAAATTTAGCTTACCTGATATTGATATTATAGTGTTGGAGTAAAAATATTCAAAAAAAAAAAAAAATAAAAAGAATGATTAATCAAGAAATATAATAATATCTTTTTTTAGAACTATTTAAATAAATATGAAAGAAAAAATTTCAATTTAGATCATATTATGATAATTAAATAATAAAATTTTTTTTCATTTATTTTTAAATTTTTTTTATTTTTTTTTTTTTATTTTTATTTTTTACTTTTTTTATTTTTTTTTTTTTTTTTAATTATTAATTAAAAAAACTAAATTTTATAAAATGTCAAATAAAGAAAAAGTTGTAGTTCAAACTAGAAGTAGAGCTGTTTCACTACCTAAATTTAACCAAGAAGAATATAGCGATAGCGAAGATGAGGACTATGAACCATCCTCTGAATCAGAAGAGGAAGAAGAGGAGTTGGTTGGAAAAAAAAGAGCTACAAATAAAAAAGGCGGAAACACACCAAAAAAACAAAAGTAATATAATGGATAACAATAAAAATGAAAATGTAATTCTAACAAAAACCCCATTTAATAATTTAATAGAGTTATAGATGTAGATGCAGATGTTATTGTTATTGATGAAGAAAATGTAAATAAAAATTGGGAAGAAATGAATAAAGATAGTAATAATATTGGTGGTAATAACAGCAATAGTAATAATACTATACAGATCGAAGATGACAACGATAATGTAATAAAATCGTCAAACTCAGCAACAATAGGCAATGAAAACAAAGAGGAAATAAAACCCACAGTAAATTCCGAAAAGATTGAAGAAAAGGTTAATATTGAAAACAATGAAGGTGTATCAAAGGAGGATAATAAAAAAGAAGAAAAAGAAAACAAGATACTACCAGCAACTACTGCCAATGCAGCATCACAAACACAACCACCAAAAGAAGAAATTGAAATTGTTGAATATGCCGGCGAAAAAATTGAAATTAAAAAACCAGTTACACCCACTCCAATGACAAGTAAAAAAAAGTAATAATCCAATAACTACAACACAAATAGTTTAATTAACTAATAAATTCAATAAACTAACTCATAAAATTAATAAAACCACTACAATAATGTAATTTATAAAAAAAATAAAAAAAACAAAAAAATTAAAATATAGGGGCGGATTAGATAATATACTTTCAAATTTATCAAAACCAAAAAAGATTAATACTTTAGAAAAATCGAAATTAGATTGGAATAAATTTAAAAATCAAGATGAAAATGAAAAGCATATTATAGAGCAACAAAAGAAAGACGGTTATTTAGAAAAGGAAGCATCCTCAAAGAACAGG